GAAATACAAGAACAAAAGTACTAATAGTAGAAATATGCGTAAAATAATGATCGCATATCGATTGAGCTGTATGAGGAATGCTAGAGCTGTAATAAGGGCGAATGAGTGGTCTGCGACAGCCGGGTGCGGCGAATCGATTACCCAAAATCGTTCCTAACGCCCGTCTCCCGTACACCAAAGGGATTAATGAACACCGTTCGCTCCTTATTTTATGGCCCATCTTATGTAGATCATACTAAAGAACCATAATGTGTAAATTACTATGTAAATACCTCGGAACACTTTCTTGATTGGAATTTATTTCAGACGAAATTTCGGTGAAGGCCTAGAACGAGACGGAGCTGCTGTTGCCATCTATCATCGAGGAAAGCTCGTCGTTGACCTTTGGGGAGGTAATTTGAGCTCTAGTTTTTTCCTTTATTTCCATTTGACTTCTTGAACTAGAATTTCCAAGTTCTGGTGTCAAAAGCTCATCGAATGATATCCTAATGAATTATGTTGCCGATTACCCTAACCCATAAATATTTTGGTTGAAATTAGTGTAATCCTACCAAATCTTCTCCTATAACAGGATATGCTGATCGAGAATCAAACGTTATTTGGAAACGAAACACACGAACAGTTCTTTTTTCAGCGACAAAGGTCAGCCATGCTTATACATGCTTCTTCTGTAATGGCATACTCAGTTTTTGATGAACAATGTGTTTACAGGCAATTTCCGCTCTTTGTGTGGCCGTCCTTGTTGACCGAGGTTTAGTGAATTACGACGACCGCTTAGTGGAATTTTGGCCAGAGTATGGCACTTATGGAAAAGAAAACACCACCGTGGAAGACGTGTTGACTCACAAGGTAGGAATTCAATCGAATTCGGAGTGCTCATTTGGTATCCAATTTTACTGTAATGGGATCGTAAGGATTCCTCCAGGCTGGACTACCATACCTCGACGAAGAAATCGATTTGCACGATGTCAGAGATTTTGAACGAATTCGAAGGAAAATCGAACGAGCTCGACCGATCTGGACTCCAGGTGGGACTTTTATTTATTTACTTAGATTTTTTATTTTTGTTCTTTTCAATTTTTTTTACTTCATCCAGCAGCTTTTACTATAGTATTTGAACATGTTTGCGTTTTTGAATCAGAATCGAGAACAACAGTCAAACAACAACAACAACAAATGAAAACCTCAGAGTAAATAAAGAGTGGCTACACCATTTAACCAAGTAGATCCGATCGAGCATGGGTACCGGCCACAGATAAATTTGCATTTTGGCGTTCAATAGCCCTTCATCATCTTCATCTGGTAGTCTTTATTCGTCTTTGTGGACGCTGTCGAGTTCCGCTAGTATTGTTTTTTTATTATTTACTTATTATTTAGTGTGCATCGACCGACGCGCTTCCATAGAGCATCAGTTCTAGCCAGGGATAAAACAGGGTGTGGTTGCAATTATTCTTAGTGGGTTTCTCCCATGTGATGTATTGGCCCATTAGGGTCAGATCAGAGCCTATTACATGGTTCCTTACCGTATACCTCTTAACTCTAAAGCGTCATTAGCTGAATTATTGGGCACTGAACAGCTTATAGCATCCTGCCATTGACCAAAAAATACCCAGACATGATCGTTACAGGAACGGCAAGCGGCTATCACGCTGTCACGTTTGGCTTCTTGGTCGATGGCATCGTTCGTCATGTTGATGAGAAGCAACGCGATCTGAAGACATTTTTCCAAGAAGAAATCGCTCAGCCATATGGTAAGAGCATAAATGGACAAAGTACAAAGTTTTCTACATCATCCAGCCCCATCTGTGGCATGCGTCCTCCTTCGACTTCCATTCAAAATCGTAGTTATTAAATGCGTATGTGGTCTATACAATGACTTGCGGTGGCCAGCCGATGTTCAAGTCAGTGATTTTATCCTCTCAGACGAGTCTGGTACCAATTAGCCGACCCCAGAGGGATGGAAGGCATGGTTGGCACAGGTGGTAATCGATTCGGGACTCGAACCCGTCACCGTGCTACCTTTTTATAATGTAATCAAGGGATTGAGGAAAACGTTAGCAGATTATTCGCTTGTTTCGGTAAATATCTAGCTGTGATCACTAAGATTTTTCCTTGATTGAAGAAAATTTTCAAAGGAATTGGAGATAGTCTCCCGACAAGCCATTCTCATCAAATCCAGGCATAGGCGAGCAGTTATAGGTATAGAAAAGAACTGTGTTCAGATAAATGTGGGGGTATCCGTGGATTACTGGAAGTTTGAAACAACGACCTCCGTTGTAGCCAGGGACTGCCCCATGCGGTAGTTGTTCATATAACGAAACGAACACGCCTGAAGGCAGTCTGAAAGGGAAACGGGACGACGGAGAGAGAAAGAAGAAATAAGGTCGCATGAAAGAGTCATATTGTGGAATAGGACTGGGATCCCTCTCTAGTGCCTAGGAAATCTGTATCTCCCTTCGAAAAAAAGGCTACTCCACCAGGTTTGGCTCTAGGTCAAGAACGCATAAAGAAGCAACAGTACTGGGGCTTGCTGACAACTTAGCCGGATACGAACGAATTCGTCCGGGACCTTAGCGATACGTTGACAGATGACCTTATTCATTCGTACGTTATTTAAGGGAATATTTGAGGAATTGAAAGAAATAAGCCTCTTAATGCAACTATTTTAGGCCTCTCCGTAGACATCGGCGTACGGAAAGAGGAAGCATACCGTGTAGCTCGAGTGACAACACCATCGCTTTGGGAATTTTTACGTGACTGTATTAAAAATCCCAAACTGATTGCCATGCTCGGTATAATGTATGCTCGTTTGGACGAGATAATCTGGAAAATGCGCGACAACACCAAATGGCTACTTATCAATTATGTAAGTTCTATGCTATATTTCTTCAACCTCGCTTTTGTTCGATTGAAAGATAGCAGAGCGTGGTAGAAAATTGTTTTGAAGGCACGAGTGACGATAATTTTGGGATATCTAGTTTTAGACGAATAGTGGAAGCGATAACCCAAAATAGAGCAAAAATGGCGAAGAAGACGGGAAATCCGATGTGTTTTTAGATGTATAGAGCATCAAGAATGAGTAAAATTAGCGCATGGATGAGAATGTGACGGCAAAAGTTGCATAGAAGAGGTAATTGTAAGAGCTGTCCAAATGTGTGTGCAGCTGGTTTTCGTAGATCTTTGCGTGCAACGGGGGACGGTACGAATGGTGCAATCCCTATAGCCTCTACTACGGCG